GTTAAACGACTGCAATAAACTGGTTCGTGAGAGTGCAAATTGACACGTGCTAAATTATTATTCAATCTAGTTCTGAAACTATGCAATAATTAGATGTTGTTTAGTTGCGACTCTACAACAATAAACTGCATGTAAATTTTGGGTACATATATACATGCATATGTGTGTATGTATGTGCATACTCTAATGACGCATCAAAGGGGTAGATCACCCCCAGCAGAGACGAACCAATCGTTACTTAAAAATTGTTTGTATAGCCAAATAGCATTGAGCCCAATTATGCAGCTAATCTAGTAATGCGATTGCAACAAAATTGATCGTTTTACCTGGCGGTAAGTGATATATATATCAAATATATTCTCCAATAGGATCACTCCAAGAACGCTATATAGCACCACGTCTGCCGCCGGTATATCCATTTTTCGACGCCAATAATTTCTCCAATGAAGCGAAGTCTAATCAAAATGTATTGGATTCTGTAAACTGACAATATTTTCGAAATTATTAAACATTTATATACATACATATATTATTATTCCTAAATAATGGAGTGATAAAAACTTACAAAAACTTGGCCAAATTATCAAAGATAAGCGACGCCGCAAATTGGCAAATATAGGCAGCTGCTAGCTGACAGTTTAAAACCAAGATGCCATATCTTGCATTTTGAAAATACAAAAAGTTATCGACTAAAAATTTTCCTTGGAGTTATAGGACGGAACAAAGAAAAAATTTGACATTTCTCGTGGTGAATTCGAACGTCATGAGGGGTAAAATTTTGACAGCTTATAAACGTGTATACACATAGGGCCTCCGCCAATTGATAGAAAAGAGGAAATTTTGACGGATTAAAGTAAACGGCAGAATTTTACCTAGCTCGAGAGGCTAGGCAAAATTTTGACATTTTATAAACATGTATACACAAAATATTGCTTGGCCGTAAAAAAGAGTGAACGTGAAAATGAAAGCTGAAAAGCACAAAAAAAGCAAACGTTATTTACAAGTTATAAACCAAATATAAATTTTAACAATTTCAGGAACACGCAAAAATAGAGCTTTCGCACTAGCGTTTGTTTGGGTTTTCAACTGTAAATATTTTACTTTACATTTGGCACAGCAAAATTCTATATATTTGTACACCATAGCAAATTTTTCCACACCGCCTCACCCTGGAGAAAAAAGTTGCCGATTGGCACAGGCCAGATTGCTTGGCGGTAAGAAAAGGTGAACATGAAAATGAAAGCTGTAAACGCGCAAAAAAAAACAAACGTTATTTACAAGTTATAAATCAAATATAAATGTTAAAAATTTTAGGAACAAGAAAAAATGGAGCTTTCGCAGTAGCGTTTGTTTGCTTCTTCAACTGTCAAAATTTTACTTTGCATTTGGCACAGCAAAACTCAATTTATTTGTACACCATAGCAAATTTTTCCACCCTTCTCACCACGAACAAAAAAGTTACCGATTGGAAAGATTTTCTTTGTACATGTTTTTTACGCGGTATATTTATAAGGTCTTTCTATCGGTGTCAAAGCCTTATGCTTGAAACACAATACACGGCGAACGGCGAAGTTCGCCGAAATGGGCGATGCCGTCGTTCACCGTTCGGCTGCTATTTCGTCTACTTTAACAGAATTAGAGCGGTAGCGAAAACAGCTGATACTATTTCGTCGCACCAGGTGACCATATTTTGAAAAACGAAACCATATTTAGAAATGATGAAATGATAACAAATATAAATATAAGGACAGCGGTAATTTCGCTGTGGTGAGTTCGCCGTTCGCCGGCATTGTGTTTCTACGGTTATTCGGTGCAAATAACTGCTTTGATGGCTTTCTCTCAATTCATTACACCAAATTGTAAAAGGACTGCTGTGATTGGCATTCACTGAATGAAGTACATATATTTTCTGATTTCTTTGCGCCAGCACCGTCGGTTACCCATTTAGTGTAAAAAGAAATTTACAAAATGGCAGGCGCCAAAAAAGCAGAATAATTGGGCGAATTTACAGTCAGCAGTGGGAAGCGGAACCTTAGGCCGAAGGTATGTTATTATAAGGTGACCAACCGACCTCCTTTAGGAAGGACAGTCTTCATTTTTTTGATATTTGTATTTGAAGTTATATGATTTATATGTGTACATACAAGAAACGTAAATTTATAAGAAGAGACAAATACAACACCAACGATATGATCCTGATACGTTCGTTGCCACAGGTAAAAAGTGGATCAGTAGAGGCAAAAGTTCGCCTTATTGCAATATTTCGTGGAAATCCAACTACCAATATTCTCAAATTGAGTCAGTTTTCACTTATTTATGATTAAAGTGCTGGGGTAAGTGGGAAAAAGTCTTAAGTTCAATAACTTTGGTATTTGGAAAGCGCCACTGTAAAAGAAATAAATATTATACAATGCTGTAAATATTACAATTATTATTGCAATTTAAATATTAGGTTTTTATTTTAAAACATTAATCATGCATATGAATTTAAAATAATACCCAATTTTTATCCATCGGTACGGTTTTTTATCTTTTACTACAATTTTTCTGGTCTTTTAGTACGCAATCGGTTTCGTGAGGTGCCAACCCTGGCGAAGAAATTGTAAATATCTCTGGTAAGTTTTTCGACTTCTACGGGAAGTTTTTTTACATGATTGGAAAAGTAACAAAATTTAAAAATTGTTCTTACAGAATTAATCGAAAGGTGCATTACTTTTGATCCACATGGGTCAAAGGGTCACACTGATCATGATACTCAGTATTGAGTTTCCGATAATACTCAGTACTCAAGAAAAGTATCGATATATCTACTCTGTACACGTATAGTTCCATCATGAACCAAAAATACAAGATCACGTAAGAACGCGACGCTGTATTTGTAACTGGTTTTGAGAAAAAAGTTTGCGAAAGCGGGTTCGTCAGCTGAGCGTTTGTTTACATCACAAGCACCACTATTTTACACTTTTATTCAAGTAAAGAAGAGTTAACTCAACATGACAACACATTTTAAAGCATTTTGTTGCATCAATTTACCTAAATTGTGGGTTTAAAGTGGCTGACAATAATTTTGGGCTAATTTTGGTTTCCGTTGTTTTCTTTGCTTTGTTTACTTTTCGCTCGTTTTCCAGTGAAACAAGATGGCTTAGAACCCGCTAAAAAATATCGACTTTTTTCACTCTCTTGTTCTTACGTGATCTTGTGTCTTTCGTTCATGGTATCGTTCCATGATCCAACTACACAAGATCTGACAAGATGAAGCAAAAGAAAAAAATAATTTTCTGGCTGACGTTTGTAATTTCGGCACCATGCAATTTTCTGTGAAAAGTAAACAAAGAATATGAAGACGAAGCATAAAGAAAAAATGCAGCAATATTGTGCACATGTTTGTGCTAACCAATTTATTATTTTTGTACGTGTTTTTGCATCCAATCACCTCGCACTTCATTTTAATTACATTTGCATAAAAAATCATTTAAAAATCACTGAAATAAACTACCGACAAAATACACATAAAGAAAGAAGCAAAACAGAAATAGCAAACTTCAAAATTACGAACGTCACACACCTTTTTCTCAATTGCTATTACAAATGGCTGCTTCTCAACCGGTCAGATCTGTTCTAATTGGTTCATGGTATCGTTCTATCACTACATACTAGTGTTGGAAAACTATCGATAGTGTATATACTCGATAGTTTTGTTAGTTATAGTGCAAAATATTCGATAGTATCGATACTATCGAAAGCTTGTTTTTACTTTGCAAAATTCAATGGCTTTTCTCGCCAAATATGTGAAAACACATTGTCAAGTGAAACTGTAAAAAGGGTTCTCGCTTGACTTAGATCAGAATAGATCTTCAGTCGCGTACATGTCCAGCTAAATGTCCGGTTTTCGCTCATAATATATTCGGAAAATATTGTATAAACAAAAGGTTCAAAACATAGAACTTGTGTAAAACAGAAAGAGATCGTGTATTTCAATAACACATTTTATAACAAAAACATGTTATATGTACATATATTTTATAGTCGAATTCTAACAGTGTGAACAAAATATACAACTATCGATAATGCTAAGAAAAATTGGATAGTGGCGACAAAATGAAACCATCGATACTATCGATAGCCCCATCGATAGTCTTCGATCACTACTATATACAATGATATTTGACATTTCGTGATACGGATTTTTGCTATTTGTAGGAATAGTTTCGTGTGTGATTTGTATGCGCAAATCTATAGTTTTAAAAAGTTTTCATTCTATAAAAGGTTTTACATATATTGAGAAATACTATGCCTGGTGGAAGTGCTAGAAAACAAAGTGGCGGAAATGATTCAGCACAGAAAAACAGCAGTAGTAGTTCGTTGCGAAATGAAAGCGTTTCGCCGGGGAGTAGCAGGGCGCGAAAGAGGTTTGTTTGGAGCTCTTAAAAGCGATAGGGTGTTCTGTTATGTGTTTCCTAAAATCCAATTGATTACTTTTACTTACAGAAAGCGATGTGAGGTCAGAAGATTCAGCGACAGTGATTTGGAGTCCGAATTGGAGGATTGCAATTTCGAAGATGCGATTGCTATTGAAAGGAAATTGCGCAAAGTGGCGAAAGATAACGACCTAAGTGATGAGGAGATGCGACAATTGTTGCAGGTGATCTTATTTTGAAATATATGCAGCTGGCCTGATTGTTGTAACGTTTATTCATAGAAATTTGTTAAAAATGAACATATTCTTGCACTGGTAACGCTCAAAGCAGAAGATGAAATAGCACGTGAACGACAGGCATCTGAGCAGCCAGCGATTATAATAACTGACACGCCGTCTGTGCCAAAATTGACGCGCGCAAAAGCTCGCGAGTTAAATAAAACTGCAGGTATTACTTTATCTACACTAACTGAGAACAAGGAGCCGGAGATTGCAGCTCTGATACAAGATGAACTGAATTCCGATGAAGACGATGAGGAGTATGTATTTCAAGAAGAGGATTTTATTGTAAGTACACATGTATTTGAAAGAAATAATCTTTGCCCGTAAAATGCCAATACTTTAGTCCGATGACGACCCCAATACCAATACCTCAGATCTGGATTCCAATCCACGTACACCACAGACACCTTTATCTCAAGCAGAGACTGATGATTCTCCGGTTAAATTTACAGCTGATGGCTGTTTCAAAATACCATTGGAAAAGCCTATAAGTACGAGGGAGGACGTGCGTATTGCGGCGCGCACACGATCGAAGTTATGCCTACAGCAGACTGCAATCGAAGATCTCGAGTCGGAATTTGTGCCACCCGATGTGGAACATATTGACTTACAGGAGGTGGATTTAACAGCGAACGATGAGGATTGGATGCAGTTTTTGAATGATTTTACTAAGCCTTTAAGTAACGACTCTTGCAATTATTTATTCTATAATAATCTAATTTTAACAAATTGCAGGCTCCAGTTTTATAACAGACGATGATGATCCTATCAATGATCCGGAATATGTAGCGGCAGATAAAATAACAGGTATTCTACCTAAAATTATCTTCGAGAGAACATACATATCAAACATTTATTTGCAGAGGATGCGGAAGAATTACGCGACATTAACATACCCAAAAAGGAGCTTACCGAGCTCGTTGCCGAACTATTCGAAGGCCTCTTTAATGAAGGTGTATCGTTGGAAAGTGTCGAATTAGAAACACCACAGAAGTTTTTGCAAAGTGACTTAGAACAGTCAACTATTACGGATGGCGCTAATCGTAGCATCTCCGCTGGCACAGCTGCCGCATCGTTTAGTGATCAGCCTGAATGCGAAGGCAATCCAGTGACGCGACAACTTAATTTTGACACTCCAGCACAACAGCAAGATTACAATCCAGTGCAACTTTCTCAACAGCAGCAGGGATTCGTGTCCGATGTGCCTCCCTTAGTTCCTATTAGCAATGTAGCGAATGTGACTCAAAACAATTACTCATTTCATCCGGATATCATGTCCACTCCTGCACCGACAACTGGGCAGCGTGTGGGCAATACCGCAACGCAGGTACAAGTACCAGTGGCATACACAGATAATTCCGAAAATGATGCGAGCCAAGTTGTCACACTGCCCACGACGTCGTTAAGTGCAGAGCCTGAATGGATAGCAGTTAAAATTCCAGGTCCAACAAATTCGTATCAATTAGCACGTGTTGTAGAATCAGCGAACGCACTTGAGCCGCCGCCACTAGTAAGAATTCAGCCGCAAAAGACAACAGAGCAACACAAACCAAAGCGTCCTCCTTTACCCCCTCCAGAGGATACACGATACAGTATGCCTTACGATACCAACTTTACATGGGAGTATATTTCTATAAGAAAGCATGTTTATACTGAGTATATATCAAAATTTGAAAATCTTCGTAATATACCACCACCGCCGCAAATAGAGGAGGCACCAAGTAATGCAATTGGCTTCACAAAACAGCAACATGATATACTACAGCAACAGTTGCGCATGCATGTACAAATGCTAACGCAAACATTTATCCAAAGCTACTCGCATCCGATTTATTGGAAGCTTGCTCTGAAAGCGAAAGACATGTTGACAGAGTTAGAAGAGAGGTCGAAGGATGATGCATCCTTTCGTGCTTGGAATCTAAAAATAGCAACGAAGCTTGTAAGACAATGGGAAGAAGATTTGAATAAAGATACGTACGAGAATAAAGAGATGATGAAGTAAGTAACATATTGATAACGACAAAGTGATATTAATGGTTACTTCTCTTTACAGATTTATACACAGCGAAATTGAGTTGACGTAAGTGCTTTCAAGTTTCCTACCATTTCCATGTTCTCAATTCCGGCTTATCATTCCAGCAAGAATAATTGTCGTCAGATTGCCCGTTTTCCGCCTCGAATTATGGACCTAATACTAAATAGCAAGGTATTCATGTATCCGGAATACTTACCTCGGATACCTTTCACTTCCAGAATCGCGAGGTACCCCATTTTTTCTCCCGCTGAATCGCAGCTTATTGCTATGGGTTTGGAAAGGCATATACAACGTATTCACGAGACAGGTGAACGCATATCGAAGAAAACCACTGAGCTAAAGATTGCTGTACTGCGACTTGCAAAGGACACCGTGTACGGTAAATCAGCGAGACAAATATGGGCTCGTGTGAAAGCTTTAAGGAATACAGATTATTATAATCCCGTAAAGGTGAGTGGCTTAAAGACAAATTATTGCTTAGGACTTTTAATATTTTCTTTTATATATTTTTATCTAGTACTACTTTGATAATAAGCGCGCTCCGCCAGTTGAACAGAAGTTAATTACGTTTCAAGACAACAAAGTATTAGCGCCCAAAGACCGTTACCAAGAGTTACCGCTGGCCTGGCAAACGCGTATAGACGAAGTGAGTAGACATTTATCTATTTTTATTTGCAAATTTATAATTGTGTGAATGTTAGCCCGTTGTGGGAATAGCTAAGAGTTTCAGATCCAGTTACCAAAAATAATTTGCACTAATTCTTTTTCAGTTTTTTATTTTTTGTTTAGTTTAGTTTGTAATTTTATCAACGCTGACTGCATCTACTGGAATTTTTTCATATAAAAGGATACGCTTTTATTATTGTTAAATCACATTCCGTGTCTACTGCCGACACGGTCTCTAGGAATCAATCGCAACTCTGATCCGTGTTTCAAAAAAACATTGCCTGCTGTCTGTTGTGGGCTGATGCCAATTCCGTCGTCTGTAATTATGGCACTTGTTGCCGCTGGCACTTTAAATTCTTCAGCAGCAAATTTCAGCACTGCTGTGAAGGGCGTACCTTCTGGTACACTAAGCACCTTAAATGGAAGCTTGGGGTCCGATGTTAGTGTAATTTTAAAGGTTACTTTTGAACTCATGGCTTATGTTGGTATTTGTACCGCCGTGCAGTTTCTAGTGGTTGAGATATGCAGTGGTGCGCACGTCTGCTTTCAGGTGTTGTGACGTGGTCAGTTTTAAGAACTTGTTTTCAAAGCTGCCAATATCCAATGTGTAAACCAGCTATTTTTATATCTGCTCGAATTTTCCAAGAAAAAATTGGCAAATTTCTGATTTATTATGATAAACGATGATAATATTTGGGAATTTTAGATAAATTTATCTATTTGCCAATTTGCACTTCGTCTATTTAGGAATTCCCACTTGACTATGCAATTGGCGAAGCATGCGATAATTTGATAATTTAAAATTAATGAAGTTATCGATTGTTTTCTTTCAACATATGTGGGACTACGAAATTGGAGGCATTTTTTTATTTTTATTATATTTATTTATTTTTAAATATTTTCTTTTCAATTTACTCAATTATTCCTTGTTAAATGTTATAATTAATGAACTATATAGGAATGCAGCAATTCGGTAAAATGCAAATTATTCACTGTATATCGGTAGTATTTTGTTTTCGGTGCCATTGATTATTGACTATCCTCGATTCATCACGATAGCAAAGTCAACTAGTGGCAAAAAACCTTCGATAGGACACCATCGATATTTGTCGATGAGTTTTGGGCAACTATCGATGGTGTCGATAGTCACTTTCTACGGATGGGGCAGCACTATCGATACTTCGCAATGGAGAATTTCAGTACAGTGTCATCGATAGTTAGCCACCACTAACGTCAACTTAAGTTTGGTCATGTTTATTTTTGATATTTGCGCAGTTAGTTGACATCTGGTAGATTTACACTATGTGAATTTTGCATTTTTGTTAAAAATCGTTTTACTTTACTGCAAATACTCATTTTATTTCATTATATACAGAAACGCAAGGCCAATAGAAAAAGGGGAACCAGAGCATCTGAAACAGCTGGCGCCTCGTACTTACAGTTTGTACGCGAGGCTTTAGGCGAAGAAATACAATTGCCGGATAGCGGTGATAGTGCTGCTACATCAGAAAACCGCGGAACTAACTTTTCCTGCTTTTCGAAAACGGGAAATAACATTACTAATACGACACGTTCTAAAAGATGTTTTGCAAATAGTGTGACGATAAATGTAAATTACCATTTTAGTGCCACTACACCAGCTAGCGAAATACAACGACCCATCAACACCACGACCGCAGTTGCACTGCCAAGCATTCCACCTTCCAACCGAGACTCGCCAAACGCCGCTGCTTTGGGATTCACGCCACTGCCGAAAACGCCTCCGTCAGCCAACGATAGTGTGGTATCGTTTAATTACGACTGGGGTACAAAAAGTTTGCAACCTATTGTTGAACCCAAGGCCACAACAACGCGCGCAACTACTTCAAATAAGCAAGGTCTTCCAAAGCAACGAGACCTAATAAAGACCACTCGAAAACGCCATAAATTAGGGCTCCTTGGCCACTTAGGCCGAAGTCGCTTAAAAACTTTACGCTATTTCGCCGTGCGGCGTGCGAGTTGCACTCTTGATCGGCAAAAGAGAAATAGGCGTCGACTGAAGAAACGCTGTCTAAGTCTTTTGAACGCATATCGGACTAATCTAGAACGAAATAAACTATGTTACAAACGTTCACCTGTTGTGTTAAAAGTATATAAATATATCAAAGCTTTGGAATTGTACACAAATTTGTTAGGCGAACTTAAAATGGCTTGTCGTAATTCTATCACAGTTACTGGATCTAATGCCAACGATGCATCGGTTACTAACGGCGTTGGTAACTCGTCACAAAATTCACCAACGGCGAAATTTTTTGTTCACAATTCGCAACAATATTATGGCAAACGATCACGCGCGCAACTTGCGCAGCAGCAAGCGCTCGAGGATGAGTCGAGTGTAAGCTCGCGTAGCAAAAAAGCAAGTCGTCAAGAGGAAAACTTTAAACATATGCTTTTGCCAGACAGTGCTGAGGATGCAAATCGAAAGGATGCCAGTGAGTATTTGATAAAATATATGTCAATAAAGTGCTTATATAATTTGTTTCCAGTTTATGCTTTTAACTTCTATGAAAAAGTGGAGGAGGCTTTCAAGGCCTCAAACCGTGCTGAAGACTGTAAAAGATTTAATCATATACTCAAAACATTTGATCCGCGTCGCGATAAGGTGTCTGATTTGTATTATGTGAGTAAACTAATTTTGACTCTAGAAAACTTTGCTAAAAATGTTTATATTCTCACTTAGAAATTAGAACGTCTTTTTCTACCCGACCATCCTGAGCTGGCTCAGGTGTTCCTCACATTTTTGTTACCCTCAGAGGCGGCGGAAATAGGAAAATTTTTCGAACATTTCATGATTAACAACATGACTACATTCATCAATAAATTGAATATTTATTTCAATAAGCAGCCTGCGCAAATACGGAAGATCTATAATTGTCTAGCGGAGCTGGCGGATGATCCAGAGGTTACTCTCAAAAAAGTAGAATCAAAAATTCTACCATTACTCAAGGGAAATCAATTTCTTACCGACTGGTTTTTGCAACAATTTTCCGAGGCGAAACCGCCCGAGAGGTAAAAATACTTAATTATTACATGTTTTTCAATACACCAATTACATACCTTATTTTTTAATAGAATATTCTCCACGCCGGAACAAGTTAACTTAAAGGAAGTAGAAATCAGACCGAATTTGTATGAGTCGCTAAATGATCCACACGATGCGGCAACGCCATGCTGTGAACTGCAACAGCAACAACAACAAAATCAAGCACACAATTGTCAACTCAGGGTAAGGGATTACACCAAATCGATCCAAAAATAAAGTGTCTGAAATAATTTACTATTTCACTCATAGTTCATCAATGGTCGCATTTTCTATGGCACCAAAATGACGCTGCCTGCAAAACTTTCCTTCATGGCTAGCAACCAACAGGCGGCTAACATCAATGAAATTGATGCGGAAGATTTGTTAGAGCAGTCAATACCTGAATGCGTCCATGCTATACGAGAACATGGTGATAAGCAACTGGCAGCTGCTGCGGACAAAGCTGCAGCAAATGCTGCCGCAGATTGTAGCAGTGATGACAACGAAAAGTCCGAGGAAGAAGATGTATCTAAAGGTAGACTTTGATTTTTAATAATAATGGTATAAAATTGTACTCTCCTCTTCACTTTGCAGCACTCGTCATAGATACCGCCAATGAAGACGATAGCAGCTCATCCATGGAAACCTGCGACGATACGGCTTTACGCGCGCACGCCATACGACTCAATCCATCTTATTATGGCAATACATGCTTTGCCGCCGTTACCAGCACACCAAACACCAGCAGCAATCATGCACCACATTATCCGCATGCCAGGAAATCGATGCTAAATTTCAACGACGATGGAAAGGTGGCATCACCACGTAAGCAATTAACACCAAGTGCTCCATGCGGAAATACAAACCCTAGTACTTCCACATCCACATCATGCCTCTCGTCTGGTAATATCACAGTCATCAGCGGCGTGTTATCCAACGCCACTCAAATTGTTACAGCTAACAATGCGAATGTTTTAGGCGACAGTAGTACCAATTCACAAACGAACTCATTACAACAGATACGCGATAGACGTAAATCACCCACTAAGAAGAGCAGATCGCCTGTGAGTACGCACCGCGGGCGTGCAAGTGGCGGCCAAATACAGCCAATGGTTGTGGTGTACGAACCAAATTCCGCAATTGCTTGCGCTAAGAAACTGCAATCATTGATTGCTGAGGATGATAATGACTGTGAAATTGATAATAAAGATCGCCTTTCAATTGTTGCATGCGCAAAGAAAGAAAGCGTACCAAGATTAGAGCCGGCCGACGAAGACGGCAGCCTAGTATCGCAGTCGCACCAACAGAGAGCGCCTTCTCCACACACACCACCACTGCTACCAGTAACCAAAGTAGAAATAATCGATAATTCAGATGATATGGAGTTTATATCTGAAAATGCCGAGGTTACGCATTCATTTTCGCACGCTTCTATCGATACATTAGCGCAACCACAGCATGAAGAAAATGCAGCACAGAAAAATATATTCACTGCTACGACGTCGATAATTACGCCAACGCCCAGCGTGGCGGAGCAACCTGCTGCAAGTGAAAGCTATACAGAGGACTGTAAGTTGGATGTTGTAGCCACATTGGCC